CTACACACAGAGAGATAGAATCCCACTGAGCAAAGACAAGAAGATTGCTGAGTATGAAGATGAATGTACTGGAGAGATAGAAACCCTGAGCAAAGACAAAGAAGATCGGCTGAGGTCTGAAGGATGAATGTACTGGAGAGATAGAAATCCCCAACTGAGCAAAGACAAAGAAGAGCAGCCAAGGTTGCTTTGGGTGAGATCGAGAACTGTCAGACACAGTCAAATCACATGAGCCGTGGGGGACCCAAGCCTATAAAAGTCACCTTCATATCAGCTCATTGGTCTATAACATATGTACCACAAGCCAGCAGAAAATTGAACTGACCTTGCAGGATTTATCTCTATCAGCCATAGATCACCTTCAAGAGGGCCTCAACCTTGGCGGCAGACTTGCCTTGTTGAATCCATTCTTGAGCCGCTTTCAATTTCTGATCGGATAGTCTCACTTGACCATCAGCCCCATCCTTAGTGCGCGCGGCTTCTTTGTTGTATCATTCTTTTTCCCATTCCAGACGCTTTCTCTCCTTCTCTTTCTCCCAAATCATGTGTTCCTTGAGGTAGGTAAACTTCTCTGCATTTGAACTTTAAAAAGCCGACGCAAGTGAGGTCTTCAACCAAGGGTTCACCTCTCTAGGAGGCCCGGGGGGGGATGCGTCCGTACTGCGTTGATTCGGAAAGGCCTGGCGGCCCAAGGTTTCCCCCTGGCCAATAAAGGTTGAGGCATGTTTGCAGACTGCATCGGTGAAGCCAGATTCAAGATGCCAGACCCATTGGTTGCATGTGCAAACAAACACTGATTCATCAAAGAAGGGGATGGGTCCATGGCGGTCCCAGTGAAATCTATAGGCGGCAGAAGTTTGTCGTCCTCATCGACTCCATGATCACCGTCCAATGCAGCTGTGACCTGGCAGGTTAGCCAATCAAGAGTCGATGAGCGGCGTGACAAATCCAACTGGGACGCTGGCGTTGTTAGCCCCAATGGTGGCTGTTCTTCTTGAGTCTCTTCCCAACCAGACAGAAAGACCTCGGTTGAGGAATCACAGCGGCCGCTGTTCTTGTTCATCTCCCCATACAAGTTGGCACCAATGCCGGAGTCAAATTGCGCCAATGGTGTAACATTTGCTTTTCCGCCAAATATCCCGTCCATTCACTCAAAACATCGGCACTTTTTCTCCAGGATCTCAGCCAGAGTAGGAAGATCATCTCCTTCCTCAATTCCAACCCCGGTTTTATTGGCCCACTCCTTTGCTCTCATGAACCTCTTCTTGTAGCCATCCACACGTTGGCAAAGTTGACTTCTG